TACACACAGATACACACACACACACACACACACACACACACATACACACATACACACACACAGACAACCCCTCGACAATATGCGTTTTTGCATTGCATAGATGCAAAAAAACGCATAAAAACAAGTTCTATAGGACTTAACTGCCTCACCGGTGAAACGAAACTTTCGATCTACTGCAGGAGGACAGTACTACTTTCCATTATGCCACGCCGATCAGAGCCAATTCAATAGAAAAAACAAATTCAAGCATAACTTCGGCTTTTTTTAGCAAAGAAATAGACTCAGAAAGAAACTGAAATAAATGGCAAGGGTTCTACAGCGCTTTAAACAACTACGAACATCTGCAAGGGATAATACACCGGATGAAAAATTGCCGTAGTCTGCCAAAATATTTTATGAATTTATCAGCAGGCTGCACACAAAATTTTTATTCACACTGATTTGATTAGTTTAGGGCTTGAAAAGTCATAACTCTCCAAAAACTTTTTTTAGCAATTTTAAAAAAATGTAATTCTCCAAAAAGCCTTTTCTCCTCATTTTTATGCGTTTTTGCCGTGCAGCGCTATAGCGCTGCTACAGCCAGCAAGAACGCATATTTTCGAAAGGCTGTGTGCGTGTGTGTGTGTGTGTGTGTGTGTGTGTGTGTGTGTGTGCGGAAAGCGAGTGCATTTTGTCACCCACTTTCATCTCAGTAGCCAGGAAAGCTGGGAGGCTGAAACTTTGGATATATGTCCCTACTTCGTGTGTCATCTTCCCGTTTTAAGACCTTTCCCCACACGCGCCTAGACCCCGAGTACGGGACCTCCAAAGAAATTTTGGCGGGAAACCATCTCGCGAACCAGGCAACGTAGAAGGCTGAAAATTTACAGGGATATTTTCTATGCACGTGCAAGATAAAAGTTTTAAACTCAACTCTCTAGCTCCCCAACCGCAGCCTCAAGCAGCTCCTGTAACCGAAAATCGTTAGCAACTCGGACCTGAACCGCAATTGTTTGTGCGAATGAACATGGGTTTTTTGAAAAACTACAGTTTGAGCAATACTTTCAATTTTTCAGTGAATTGAAAATTTGCATATTATTAAAAGTCCGTTCGCAGCTCGGGCCTTAACCGCAATAATATGTGTAAATGAATGTGCATTTTCTGACAAACGACCGCTCGAGCAATACTTGCCACTTTTTAATGAACTGGAAATTTGCATTTTTTCAAAAAACTGCAATTGTCATTTTTTCACACCGAAAAAACGACCGGACTTCATGCAAAAAATCGGTAATCATGCACCTTGATGTCCGTGCGGCTTCATAATGCATCACCTTCATCCCAACTGATGCCCTTCCTCCTGCATGCCAGAAAGGATCAAAGCACGGACAATATTAGCCCAAGTGTTAGGCTACAGCATAAGGATCATTCCTGCTAATAGCGATCTGTGAGTTTAGTGCGAAAAAGCATGATCGCACCAGAGAGCCTGGTGCGTTCCAGCCTGGGTTTTATATTAGTGTATGACAACTACACCTTCAGATGGTTTTTTTTTTGGAAAAACTGTCATTTCGAAGCTTGTAAGTAAGAAAGCCGAAGTTCTTTTTTTTTATTTGCCGATTAGTGATGACAGTGATGATGATGTTCTGGCTTCTTCGCAAAGACCATGAGCCGCAGTGTTCGTTTGGCCTTTCCATCCTCAGATGATGCAATACTAAGGTTATATCATCAGAATGGTGGTGCTCACTGAGCGCAAATGCAAATACGTTCAAGTGGGTCGCGAAAAGCTTTAAAGCACACAATCAACCAGTGTGACAAAAGTTTGCGCTACTTGCTAGTATGCAAATTTTCCGGCCCAAATTGCTCAAAAAAAAAAAATCCAAATTTCGCAAAAAATTACTACGAACAACCAGAAGAGATGGAAAAACATTCATATAATGAAGCTAAAAGTACCGCTTATGAGAGGGCTGCCCGTCGGAGCCGAGAAATCGTTCGCTAAATCGCTGTAGAGCGAAGCGGTTGCCGAGACACTCATCCCTGCAACACCATGTATTAATTTATTCACCAATTCCAATCTTTTCTTAATTCTACCGCAAATAAGTAGTACTTTTCGGCCAAATAATTTAAAAAAGATGGCTGAAAAGTCGATATTCCCTACGTTTTTAATGAAGTGCGCCAAACTTTCAATAACAAAAAAATACGATTTTTTTAGAATTTTTACTTTTAATTTTCTATTTTTTCTCTTCAATACTGCTTCGATAAAATGCCAGCTTAAAAGTATATCTGCAGTTGGTTATGCCAAAATGCACACGATCCCAAATTTTTAAAAAACAAGTTTTTTTTTGTGGGAGGGGGGCGGGGGCGGGGGGAGCGGAGAGGGAGGGAAATCTCAGCTATATCATTGAGGCAGCTTTCATATCTGAATAATAATAGAGATGCAAGCTTACACGGAGCATATGGTGATATAATGCATGTAAGCTGCGATAACAATGGCAGCTCTGGAGCGCCCTCCTTTACAATGAATCACAGCCACATTATCTGGGCTAGCAGATAACCAGTTTTCCAGTAATTTGCATATTGAGCAAAGTCGATCGAGTGGCGGAGCGAGCTCTTGTGGCCAGCCAAGCTCCACAACCGGATGTAAGCGGCCAAGATCGCTGCGCTTCTTTGATACATTGAAAATCTAAATTACGGAACAAAATCAAAAGAGACTATAGAAGCAGTTTCAGTAACTGCAGGATTCCTGGCTAGATTTCTCTCATCATTGATCACCGTATAAAATGGATGTACTTCCCAGTCCAAGCCTTATTTTTTGCAAAGGGTCATTTACGAAATTTTTTTTTAAAAATAAAAAAATGCGAATTAAATGTTGTTCACATCCATACAAACTTAGACGAGAATATTCACCTTCTACCTTCAAATTGAATCCAAAAAAAGAGGCACGCTGCTCGCTTGGCTTACAATCGGCAAATTTTGCGTAACAGTAAGTGGAGTTTGGATATGAAAAAGCACCACTCGAAACAAAATTCGAAGAGAGCATTACAGGCAGTAGAAGTGGCAGACAGGTCAAGAATAAAGTTAGTAATCCGCAGATCAACATTTAGTTGCATTTCGACTACACCTAGACTATCGTATTGATGGTCGAGGGATCGTGGCGAATTATATCAAAAATTAACGAATTATTTGTGTTGGTCAGTGGTCATTCCCTTTCTGTACAGCCTATTCATCCTTGCGCTCTTCGCTTTCCTGCCCTCTTCTATTCTCTTTCCTTTCCCCGCCATATCTTCCATTTTGACAGAGTGTGATGAAAGAGCTCTTTCATGCCTTCTTCTGCTCGCACTGAGGCTAAATCTTGTTGAAAGCTTAAATCGCACCGGTGTCAACTATCCATTAGCCACTTACCCCTTTACCAACTTATAGACCTCATTTGCGCTTCTTGAACAGTGCTTCCAAATTCCTTCCGTATTTTCTCTTCTTTTTGTTTATCAGGAGCAAAAAATCCAGGGAACAGAATTTGATCGAAAGGGCTAAAGTTAAGTTGATTATTTTTTTAATGCAAAAACAGAAGGGATCATAAATACCAGTCTAAAAAAGTGGAAAAATGTTTTAGATAAACGCTTTCGACGGCACCCTGACAAACACTGTCCCAGCTCCCGCTGCCAAAAACAAATGAGTTAACTAGCAAATTACACCTCAGATAGTGAGGTTTCTGATGAAAACAGTGAACTCAGCATGCACGGCCTCGATGAAAAGCTTATCTTTAATTTTTACTACTCAATATTTTGTCAAAATTGCTAGAGGCTCGAAAGATGAAAATCCTAGAATTATTCAAGCAAAACTCTAAGCTTTGAAAGCCACTGTACCCATAAAAAACGAAGACGCACAATGCCACAGAGAACATCGAGGAATTTTTAAGGGACAAAGATGAATGACTAAAAGGGATAAAAAAATGTATTGTTTAAATAAGTACAGGATTGGTAACGAACTTTATAGCATTCGGGATGCTTTCTTCGCAGCATCACAGTGGCATCTTTGAGACCCGTCCTGTACTGAGCGTCCGTACCTTCAGAAGGAAACAGCGCTACTGTAAAATGATAACATAAGTTAAAATTTTTATTCAGATTTTTTTAGTAGCAAATTAAATTTAAATTTTTCCGACTAAATCGCTTGCATTCAGTCAGAAATCAACTGGTCTTGCTTGTGTATGATTGCTTTCAACAACGCACTTCCACATGTGTAATTGCCGATTGCCAAACTTTCTCAACAATACTAAGTTAAGAAAAGTGTTTCAGCCCTCGTAACTTCTGAGTAGATAAAGCGTGGGCAAATAGGAAAGTTATCTCCAAGTCGGA